TAAGTTGAAAAAAAATACATGTTTATAATAAATGTAGTGGTTTTTTTTTTAAGTTAGCGTTTTAAGCTGAAGTTTGGACAAAAATCGTGAAAGTCGCGGAATTTCAGAACACGATTAACCGAACCTCGGTTACAACTTCAATTTTTAATTCAAACAGAAGGAAAAATGTACGCGCGTTTACTTCTTATAATAGAATATTTGAGGAAAAATGTTCATCAATACTTTCGAACTAATGCTGATACGTTAAAAATAATACAAACAACATAATAATAATACTTATAATATTATAACGAATAAATATAATATAAAGAATTTTTAGAGTATGAAAATTACGTAAGAAAAAAAAAAACGCGGCTCGACCCGCCCACTGCACTGCCGTACCGTTGGAACGGATAAATATAATATCCATTTTGTATTATAATTTCTTTTCGTATACAGTAATATGTACGATATCGCCGTGCGTGGAGAGAAGTCCTGCGAACAAACTAACGACGTCGATTATTATTATTATTATTATTATTATTAACGGGCGTGGCGGTGATTTATCGATACCGTTCGATTCGCGCGATTGAAAGGATAGCGGCGTTCCGTTTGCAACCGGGTGAAAAAAAAAAAAGGCGCGCGTATATACGAAATCACAGAGCAAAAGTTCACGGTATAGACGTGCTTTTAAGGGCCGCCGTTCTTTTGATGGCTATACCCGTTCACCCTTTTGCACACGTGTGAACATTTTACGTGTGTACCTATATCCATACATGTATTTATGTCCGTACGTTGCAGAGTGGCGACGGCAGCGGCGACGGACAGAAGAATAGCCGTGGCGGTTGCGTTTGACAGTTTGCAAATGTCTGCGGGAGCCATTACCGCCGCCACCGCCGAATAGGAATCGGCACTTGCAAAAGTTGGACTTTTTTTTCCCTACCTATCTACACACACATTATATGTATATCTATACGTTTTATTTTCTCTACCGTCGCGATCACTATACGTGTGTATAAACGCGTGCGGGCACGGTGGTGCGCAGCTCATGCGAATGTATAAATATATGTACACGCGAACCGAGCCGTAGAAATGACACGGGAATTGATAGCTTTTCACCGGTATATGGTACCCCAGGGTGTTGTGCGCGTCGCGGCGGAGGAGAGTAAAAAACGCCGCCACTATCGCCACCGCCGAGGACGAACTACCGCGCGCTGTACTGGCGGCCTATCATTTATATTTCGCCGCCAAAAGAAAAACAGTCCACCCTCCCCCCCCCCAACCCACCCATTCACTACCGCCCGTTAAACGTAGATCAGCATTGTGTGATGGCCTCTCCTCTATAACACACCCCCTCCCCCTACCGGAGTTCCGGAATCTAACCCGTAGCGTACGAGCTGCAACAAACATTTTACCGGGTCCATTTTACCATCATGCGCGTCCGCTATACGAGGTCTGCCACTCACACACTAGTCATTTTTCCGATCAATTTATACGAATTTTTTGGACTAATAAAATATTTGGAAATATTTCTGTTCAAATCCGCACGTTTCGTTCGAAACTAATTGTTATTGTATTCGACTTTACTAATTAGAAAAATATACAAATGTTTACATTTTTTATCTTTACTATCGACAAGTTCGTTCGTCCCGGTACCGTTTTTTTTTTTTTTTTTTTTTAACAATAATAAAGTTAATGACTATTGGATTAGCGCCATTTCGAAATTCTTAAAAGTGCACATCGTTTAAATCGCGAATCTTAGGCATATGATTCGACAATGTATATCGAATGAATTCAGTAATATTTTTAAAAATTTTCGATTCGAGTCTTATCCCGGATCGATAGTTTTTTTTTTTTTAACTAATCGGCTAATTAAGTATAGTAAATAAATTACCCGCCATCACATCCGTGCATGCGACACGAAAAGTTTAAAATATTTCCGCCACATACCTAAACGACGGGACCAACCAAACGATTTTTCATCGACTCCAGCTCGTCGTTAATCCGTACCGCGTGACTTATATATATATTTTTTTTTTTTGTCATGATAATTATTCACAGGTCGGAAAAATATTCGTCTCCGTGTACATAGATATTATATATGTACCTAATTCAGTTTATTCTTGAGCAAACTCTTGGTATCGTGTTTTTATTCGAGATCGTTTTTTTTTTTTCAATTATTCCGCGACACATAAAATATACAATGCATTTGATATTGTTTCCTTGTTTTGTAGGCAGGTAGTGTTCGACCCATGCGCACTTACCCACGGTTAAAATTCAATAAGCACCGCGAATATTGTTGAAAGAAACGTCTATTTTTATGTTTTATCATGATGATAAGGAGGAGGAGGAGGAGGAGGAGGAGGAGGATAGTTTGCTATACCGTCATAATACAATACACTTAAAATATTATATTAATACGTCTAGAAAATCGAATAGTATCATGGTAAACAATGTCTATAACTTTCTATACGCCGGAGTTAAACAACAACACGGGATCTACGATATACGCTGCACACTCCAAACTTCATCTCACATATACGTTTAGTTCTATACTTATAATAATATTATAACGCACGCAATGTTCGTTTTAAGTTAGAACTTCAATACAATTTCTTATCTTAACATTCCCCACGTACATAATATAGCATTATATTAATATACACATATTTTAGGCGCTACCTATGCGAATATTAACAAATAGTTAGCAATTAACAGACTGCAGTATCCGTGTTATTAAACAGAATAGCCTTTGAAATATTACCATGTTATTATTTGAGTGGAAAATTCGTTCGACAATTTCGTTTAAATTGCGGGTATATTATTCCTGGTATAATACTCTATATTATAGTATAGTATAATTATGTGTGTTTCGAAAATTGGCGAATGGATTTTTAAGGATATTTGAATTACATAATTATTTTCGACAATGCTCACAGAGAAGAAATCATATCCAACATCCTATAATCCGTTGCAGGTTAGGTGCATATGTTATGTTTTTAATACTGTTTTTAGTGTGGTCCTGATTTTTGGAATATGATTGTTTTTGATGCTCGACCCCTATTTTTTTCATTACCGCGTAAAAGTAAACTGTGTGAAATTAAGTCATGATAACTGAGCCCTTTCCCCAGCCCCAAGAAGATTGAAAAATACCTGCATACCTATAAAGGGAATCGAAGTTTCGAAAAACCTCGATTTGGGTTTTTTATTTTCCATGTAGTTTTCTTAATGTGTGGAAAACGGAAACATACGTGCAACGGCGATTTCTGACCGATTTTTTTTGTAATTCAATGAATACTTATAGCCTTTTCTAAACGCGGCACCATTTAGAAATTATTCTAGCGTTTTTTGAATAATTTATGGCTATTCGACCTTTATAAAATAAAAATAAAAAATCCGACGTAATGTCGAAATTTACTTTTTCAGTGTTTCGATAACACGATAAAACTCGTTAAAATTATGAACAATTTTAATTTCGTAACGGTGGACACGATGACGTGGACGCCGTTTGCGTGATCGATTTAATGGTAAAATAAATTTCCCGTTACGCTCAGAACCTGCGGACGCGATTTTACAGTGAATTTCGGATAACCCATGGAGACCGCGGTTTCTCGATGCCCGGCATCGTATCCTTATAATTGCATCCGCCGACATACCGCGTTCGGCGGATTTTTCTCGCGTTATTTCGTAATAACGTATCCGCTCGCGACGACGACTGTAATAAGTACACGGCGGACAATGTATTGTAGCGAATAGCTGTTTTTTCTTTTTTCTTTTTTTTCATTCCGCGCCCTTTGCAATACGTCTCGGCTCTCCCGCTCTATACCGTTACGACCGCCGCATACATTTTTCCCGTACACGACAACGATCCGTCCCTATTATCTGTCCCGTACGTACACGATAATACGCATATACACACATATGTATAACGTGTGTGTGTGTATTTTCATATACTTGTATATAATAATATGACGGCGTGCATACGTATGTATAGTTATTTTCTACCGCGCCGTATATCCGCGCGCGTACGCAACCCATTGTGCACGCGTCTGGCGGCGGGTGACGGTGCTGCGTCATGACGTTTCGCGAGGGAAATGTGTTTCCGTAAAGAACGGCGGCGGGGGGGGTGGTGAAAAAAAAGGTACGGAGCGGAAAAAGCGGCGGCATAGTATTATTATTATTATTATTATTATTATACACGTACGCGAGGGGCGGGCAGCGGGAGCGGAGAACGGAAAAAGAAGAAAATATAATATTGTATACAACGCGTGCGGCGCCGGGGACGGTGGGCGGGGGGCCCGAGGACGCGAGGAAACCCGAAAGAAAATAGCTACATTTATTTCGCGTGTGCATCGCTACGACGCAGCACTAATACGGATATATATACGCGCGTTTCGACCCCCCCCCCCCCCCTCCCACTTAGTCATCCGATGCGACGGGGCGGGCGGCGCGCGCGGAAAGTGCGGCTACGTCTTCCCGAGATTTGAAATATGAGCTCCACGGGAAAACCGGGCATTCAGACCGCCGCCGACCAGCAGCTGTCTGGTGCCCACACACACACACACACACACACACACACGCGCGCGCGCGACGCCCGCGCACGTAATACTCGCGCTCCCGCGCCGCGACTCCGGGACATATTTCACGGTTCGCCAAATTTCCGCGTCCGTACACCTATAATGCCGCGCGCGTTTTTTCCGCACCGCCGTCCGCGCGTCGCGTTTCCGCGTCCTTGCGTTTTACGAAAAATCTCCCGTTTCCACACACACACCCCTCCCCCCCCAACGTCGTCCCCGTCCCCGTCCCCGTCTCTGGTCGACGGGGACTTTTTTTTCGCCCCCCCCCCTTCCCCCTCGCCTCGGTCTACCGACCCGGCCGAAGGGACCCGGGCGAAAACATAACGCGCGCATAACGTCTCGTACGCGCGCGGCGGGCGGCAATAAGCCGACCGCGCGGCCACTCGGTACACTCGCGGCGGCCGTGACACGGCCCCGGGGGCGAACGGCGTTCGAATCTCACATTTATACTCGTCCGTAAACGCCGTCCCCGCGGCGGCTCGCGTACGGAGTGTCCCGCGGAGATTCGACTGTTTTCGACATTTCGTTTCGTTTTGGCGACCAACGAGAAACACCAGTAAGCTCTGTGAACGTTACGTTACCCGGGTCCACGGTTTCCCCGACCACCGCGCGACAACGGTTGCCCGCACCCGGGCGATGTATCCTCAGATTTTTTTTTTTTTTCCTTCGCCGTTTGTCACTTCTGTTTCCATCGGCCGTACAGCCGTTTAACGGCTCCGGCGCAACAATAACCTCGACACATGTGTCGACGTCCCCGTAAACAACAGTGTCTGTCCGGTGGTGTCGGAGAACGGGTACATTGGACTCACGGACATTGTCCTAGGGGTGCGAAAGTATAATTTCACTCTTACGCCAATTGATTACGAAAGTTTTTACTAATTTTTTCGCCGGAATGTCTTCCGTGTTTTACAATTATGTTGTGTGTAAACGGATGTGTTCTATAACTATGTTGTACTTAAATGAATACTATAGTATAACGTAAATAATTAATGTCGTGTATCGACGTTCTAAAAAAAAAAAAAAACCCCCGCATTGTTGCAGGGGCTTACCATTTTCGATCATATATATTTTAGAAAAAATCGCGCGCAATCATCGCCGTGCACTTTACTCGTGTAATATATTTTCGCTTTCTCACGTGAAAAATATTTCCTGCGTCACTTTCAATACGTTTTTTTTTTTTTTTTTTTTTTTTCGCCCCGGGCAATACAGTCACTCTGAAAAATGAACGAATACCCGGATCGAAACCTGACGTTCCGTAAAGTATAAGGCATTAACAGATTTAAAACACCACCAAACTTATGTATATGACACGCGATACTTCTAATTTATAAGAGTGGTGCGAATGGAATGATGCTGTGACGGCTGCGGGAAAAACGGGCATTATTATTATTATTATTATAAGGTTAGCGCCCGCGTGACCGAATCCCGCGAAGTTTTTATTTAAGTTGATAAACAACGGGGAATTGTTTTCTTAAAAGCGCTAAACTCGGCGTGACACTCACACACGTCACCTTAATAATATTTATACCGTGCGGTAACGCCGTTATGTTGTGAGGGCGAGACTGACTTATAATATAATATAGAGTTTACGCGGTTTGCGGTACTGCGGATTACTTTGGATCCGAGTATATAAAATATACATATTACGAATTTTCCACTTCCTCGATTCGACTTTTTTTTTCTTTTCTTTTTTTTTTTTTTTCCAAGTTAACCGCGGGAACAATTCGATACGCCAAATGCTCTGAAATTATAATAATATAATATGCGTTTAACACCGACAAACTGCGGGCGCAATTTATCGAAATACACGAACGCGCGTTATTATAGTAACGATACTGTATCCAGCCGTTTGAATAATTACTATCGAAAAGCTGTCCTAGGATAATGGGGACGGGCGCAGCCGCTGTTGTCGGTGGAAAGTTGAGAAAGTAGGATTCTGACGGGAATTTAATGGATATCCGTAAGCGACGATTAACTATTGCTAACGAAAAACCTATTCTGAGCGGAATTCGGTTGATAGTGTTGCTTTGTATACAGTATATATACTATGGTAAAATAATTACATACGCATTAAACATTTTCTCTAATAATATGTGTTTAATGTTATACCTATTCTAATGTTTTTCTCGTTTATCCGGAAAACTACTGGGAAAATCAAAAAACGACCTCCCATAAATACCTCCGCAGTACTTTCAGAAAATTTGCTATCATCATTCAATCGGAGTAAAATTGGCGATGGAAAAGTTGTTCGCGGGTAAAAAAAAAAAATAAACATCATCGTAAAACCATAACAAGCTCCTACGCTCCACTCAGAATTTAAAACAATACGACGGACGAGTAAAATAAAAGTATAATTACCCTCTGCGGTTCACTAGAGTACGTTGTTTCGGTCATTTTCGCAGCAGACCGTTTCGTATATTTTCGGTTTAAACGGTATCGGATCGGAAAACCACAATATACTATTTTAATATATGGTCCTTCGTACCGGACGACATCAAATCGATTGACCTGTATAAATAATATAACGTTTTAATTAATAAACAAAGGCGTGCGCAGAATTTACTCGCAAAGTTTACCACATCAAAAATGCCTGAACCGAAATTTCCTGGAGGCCGATAACTGCTAAATACAATAAACACATAGTTTTTGTTTAATTTTTTTAAATTCTACATGGAATATTAATTGAATTCTAGAAACGTAAAAGAATAAAAAAATAAATAAAAAAGAGCTGTAATATCTGTAAACGATGACAAACCATTGTTGACGAGAAACGATTAGGAACGAAGTTCGATTATGGGTAAACGATTCGAAAGGCCGTAATATTTACGATCTTAGTCAAAATTTAATATTAAAACTCTTATAAAAATTAAATACTACAATGTCTCTCGATTTTTTTTGTTTGAACACTAATTACGATTTATAATGAACGTCCGTTGTGTTTCCAAGTTTTTCTATTTGGTCAAACACAGTGGCGTCAATTGGACCGCACGCGAGGTATGCATTTGCATATTTAAAATCCAAGATTAAAATAATTTGGCCGTGTTAGGTTTTATTGTTTTTTTTAATAGCTCTAACAATTAAAAAAAAAAAAAATAGTAATGTACTGCTCCCGACAAAAATATTCTCCTCTTTAAATTCCTGTGTGTTCTTTGTTTCTCACTCTATAATTTCGACCCATATACGCTACGGTTTTACAAAATTCCGCCTGCCACGTAAATATATAAAACGCGCCCCCTTTATGCTATAAAGAGTTCGTTCGCGACAGTGTTGACACGTAATGAACTTGTTTACCGAACGGGGTCGTCGTGTGTATTTGACGTTTGATCGCTATCGTTGCCGTTACGTGATTTTTTTTTTCCCCTTTCTGGATCGCATAAAGACATGTTAATATTATTTACACTGCGAAAAGATATTTTTTATTTGCCGTGTACATAAAATATTATATCTTATATTAATAGGTAATAATAAATTGTTGGTTACAACGCGGTAATTTTCTACTCGGTTTGATCCGAAACATGAGTATATGACGATACGCCCGGCCGTTGTAGTGTATCCGGCGAATGTAACATTGCATTTCCGTGCATGTATCGAATCAGCGAAATTGTAAATTTGTCGTCGGACGTAAATGGTGACGGCGCGCCACTGTCGCGATCCCGGACTGGCGCCTCGAGTTTTTACTATTGCTTTTTACGAAAAAGATAGGGCAATTTGTTCGCGAAATTTTTACTTTCCCCCGGGGGTTTCGGGCCGATAACGAGCCCAGTCGGTTTTCAAATAGAATATCGCGTTTTGTTTTCGGACCACTCGTTCGTGTCTTATTATTTCGCCGTGTTTGAGTGCGTACGCGTTTTTCGCGCGAGGTTACCTGGCGTTTCATAATCGACGTACAGCTCTATTTGTTCGCTCAAAGACGCTTGATTGACCGTGTACTCGTTACCGTGCAGACGTCATTGATATCGGAGCACGATGAAATACACGTACAGAACGGCCCAACTCAACTGAACAGTACGCGTTATCGTGGTAATTCAGCTTAAGGCATCGGCATGTAGAGCATGTTTTTGAGGGGTCGGAACGCCGCGGCGCACAAGAGCGTCGAGTTCCCTCGGCCGTTCGATTGACAAAGCGGATTATTGAAAGCTTCGGGGTCAGTTTTACGGTAATTATTATTGCCCGTGCCCGGCAGTCGTTTACAAATTGATAACAAAAAAAAAAAACAATAATAATAATAATAACAATATGATTTTACGGCGGATATAAAATAACACGTATTCTTATAACAAATGCGCGAACGTTATAATATATTATTATTATTCACGTGCGGACGAGAGTGGAAAATATGTCGAAATGAAACGACAAACGACATTTTTCCGGGAAACGTTTCATCTACACAGGAAAGTATACGGAATAACGTTTGTATACACGCAGTAATGGCAAAAAAAGGTTTTGTTCTTAAAGAGCGCAATACCTTAAAAAAAAAAAAAAAAATAAAAAAAAAAAACCATATTCCTTCGAATCGTTATATATATTTTTCATTAAACTATAATATAAAATACGGGTACCCGCTTCCGTGTCTCTTTTTCTGCGCCGCTGCAGGTAAACGAATTGCAATATATTATCAAGCTATATATAGAATCGGTGGATGCCGCTCGTGTGGCCGCAAAGATATATAACGGAGCCACTTTTTATTATTATTATTATTATTATTACAAAACGGTACTTTTTTCTGGTGTTTTTTTTTTTTTTTTTTTTTCAGCGATGAAAATAACAGAATTCTTCTTAACAAGGGTTTATGAAAACTCGGCGATATTAAATTGCAGTACGACGACGCGACGCGCGGTATTGCCTTTCATTTTTTTTTTTTTTTCTTCTGTTCCTCTCGTCCACACACTCGATAAAGAGGGGAAAAACTCTCTCAAACGCACGTGCATATTTTTGCCCCGAGCAATTTAATATAATATATAGGTGCATACGCAGCCACCAGCACATACGCAGGTACCTCGCAGAAACACAGTTCGAAATATCGTCTCGTTTGTTGTTATTATTATTATTACATTACATAGGTGACATTGCTGCCGTTATTAGGATATTTTAGCTGCACGCGGTACTTAAATCGTATTTATTTCGCCCGTCGATAACGACGCGTCGGCAATGGCCGGCAATCTGCATAGAGTACACCGATTTTTGGATTTATAATCCGACCTCGTCGTCCGAGTTTTTTTTTTTTTTTTTTTAAACCCTCTTCGAAATGTGTCCCTGTCCACCGCTGGCATGCTTACGTTTTGTAATCGAATATGTTATGAGGACTTTGATTTCGAAACGTGTCTATCCGTCGAGTTTTTACACTACAATAAACTCGAAATTATTCTGTCGATACCGCGCATCAAACGGAACGAGACTTATTATTCTTGAGTTTCTAAACATGCAGAATAATTTATTTGCGTCAAGACGGTATTATTATTGTTTTTTTTATTTTTTTTTACGTACAGCACACCAATTGTCTTATTATTGAACAATATTTCTTTATTATAATTTTAAATAATTATGCGTACGGTAATTATACGTTATGTTTGCGATTACCCGTGAAATCCGCTACTCTATGTGCAGTGCAGGAGTTAAAAAAAGAAAATGAATTTTTCTATTTTTTTTTCTCTTACAGTAAAAGCATACCGGATGAATATCGTATATTTAATGGACGGGAACGAAAAATAAAAAGCACTCTAACGTTTCGTGTATTATACTTAATAAAATTATAACCCCTCATGGTTTTTGAATGGATTACAGGCGCGCAGATATTTCAGGAGTAAATTAGGCAACTCATCGTACGTTCCGACACGATGACGATAACAAGGGGTCGGTTGATGATAATATTATTTTGCTAGCGATTTTCACACCCTATTTCGAAAGCTGAGATGGCATGATGAATTTAAATTTTTAATTGTTCATCGCTCGTTCACCGCGCCCTCGTCGTCCCACACCTCGGACAATAATTTTATTGACGTCGAATTACACGACGACGTCGTCTTAAACCACCGCGTCTTCAGATTGTTTTATATTATTTTAATGATCCTGTAGGTGTATAAGACGCACTAAAGTGAATTCGTTAAACCGTTAAAACGCGGTAAACGGCAGTCGATTACAAACGGTGAAATGATCATACTGTACGTTAGAAATTATTCGTTATTTTTATTCATCCGTTTCGAATGTTTTTTTTTCCATTCCAAGGGGATTTAAACGATATTTTCTTTTTTTATCTAACGTCGGGGGTGGGCTTTTTGGATGTATAGACACCCCTCACCATCTGTACTCAAGTTTTTTTTAATAAATTTTAATATTTAAAATATTTTCTTATCAAATTTTTGAAAATTAAGGATTAAAACTCTAAACAATGGTCTAATCGATCTCGTGTACACTTCACGTTGAATGTAAATCTGTTTTCGTCCGTATTATCACTCCAATACATCGATCGGACTGATTGCCCAAAAATTTGTCTAGATTTCTGTATCGCGTACCTACCTGTTAGACAAAGAAAGAACACATTGGTATTCAAACCCCTTAATAGTTAATGATATTAACAATATTGTCAAAATAGTTAAGCCGTTAACAATATCAATAATTAGGTACTTTATCATTCTTCCGCAAAAGTTATCGTAATATTATTTTTTTAATAAATAAATAAATGAGTGCATTTTAAATCCATGCAGGGTAGAGGAGTGTTTATTTTTAAATTAATAAAACAAAACGCTAAAAAATATAATAAATGTATTATTGTCAAGTGGCAATATAGTATAAAATGTACTTTGTGAAGAAAAAAAATCGGACATTATTTGTTCAAGTCCATACATTCAAAATGACGTTCTACGATAATGGGGTATGTTTTTACCCAGTTTTTCACATTTGCTGAGAAAACTCCGGAGAAAATCGAAAACGACCTCCTTAAAGTACCCCTCCACGCCGATTTCCTTTCAGAAAAGGCGCTACACGTAAAAATCTGAGCAAGTCTTCTGGAAGAAAAGTTGCGCACAGGTGGAAAAAATAAAAAAATAAACATCTTTGTAAAACCATAAGCTTCTTCGCTCCACTCAGAATCCAAAATTGTTAAAATTGTACATGATTTTTTTTCAAGTTACGGAATATCGGTCATCTGACATTACTGATAGTAAAATACAAAGTTGGTAAAACGTTAGAAAAATGAAAAATTACGATCATGTAGACGATGAATGAACCATAAAATTATTAAATTTACTAATTTATTATTCAGCAAATTAATTCAATTAATTACAAGTAAATTTGTATCAATCGGTGTTTTTCTTTCGAACAGGAATAATAGGATGATTGATCTTGTTTTAAATATATTATGTTTAAACAAACAATCTCCCCTATTTCGTGAGGGTACCTTGAATAAATATTGACTTTTGATTTTCAAATACGTGTGTATATTGAACCACATATATTATTGTATTTTTATCCCTTCAATTCAGATAGAAATGTTTTTTTTCGAAAACGTTGAACATTAGCTATAGTAGTATGAGACTAATAGTTTTATTTTGTTTTTTGTTTTTTTTTTTTTTTTATATTATTTATACTTATACTTAATAAGATTAAATTGTCGATGTTCGGGTATTTAAGAATGTTTACGAAATGTATTTATACACCTCTCATTTATCCGAAATGTTATCTTTATTATTATTATTATTATATAAAAATAAAATAATGTGCGTGTCAATTTTTTTAAACAGAAAAACATCCCACTCCCTCAGTTTAATTGAAAATGGAAATAAAAAACCAAAAGGGTTTTGTTTGAAAATCAAAAGTTTTTATTTATTTATTTATGGTGTACACTGCAGATTATAGGGGTGGTGAAATTTGGAATATAGAGTAAATAAGAAACTTAAGTGATTTCACGACGACTGAACATCATCACGAGTAGCAATACAATTAAATTAAAATCTCGGAAGATAATTGCCAGTTCACGAAAATAAATCCACTTCAAAAAACACGTGTACACAATATTATGTTGTAAGTTTGTAACAAAATTACTATTAACATTATTATTTTTTGTTTTAAATACTAATGATAGTAAATACAGCATTGTTATAATGTTATACTTGGTACAAAAAAAAATAAATAGTCTTTTGTTTTATTACCTACGCAAAATTATATTGTTTGACAGAATTTATTTCAGTAAATTCTCCTCTCTAAGTACATCATCATGTTATTTTATTATGATATTATACTATTAATAAAATATTTTGCTCTTACGATAATATGTTGTCTTTTTTGAATTTTAAAATCAATATAGACGTATGGTAAAAAAAATCTCCGCAGGTTTAAGACTTGAAATAATAATAAATAAAAAATTATCATTAACAAGTTTAAAATATAA